GCAAAGGTGGAAAAGGACAAAAGAGAGAGGATGTGGTGTGGTGCCATAGCTTCTCATGATTTTGAACAATTGCTATTGATATTTGGAATATCAAAATGATTAACTACTTTCGATTTATTAATAATCCTTACCTCTTGTTCTTTCATTTAATATTTTCTTTTCTAAAGTTGAAAGAAGACCTAGTCCGTTCATATTTCGGCAACTTAATCTATCAGTTCAATTACAGTTCATTCTCATCATTTTCATTGGAAAATGCAAGAGTCAAATGCTATTAAATGAAGTTAAAGCTGATAAAAAGACATAAGTACATTCATCACATATAAATAAATAAACATAAGGGCATTTGATTGGGTACAATTAGTTAAAGAAATTGAAATTGACTAATGAAATAGCATTAAACCATTTGGATGAATTTTACTCCTTAACTAGCTTTTAGGGTAGAGAAGTTTTATACTAAGACTGTAATGAAGTTTCCTCTATTTACCATACTGATTTATCATCTAATCTTGTATTTTCTCATTTTTTTCACTAATTCATTAAACAAATTCGTTAAATTTTTTTTTTCTTCTTTTTTTTCTTTTGGTTGCTGAGTATTTAATATTAGATTACATCTTCAATATTACCGTGATAACCATTTTTTTTTTCACTTAGACAGCATGTGTTCTTTTAAAACATGTTCTCTTCCAAGACCACTTTTATTCACTACCAGGATTACGAGATTTGATGATACCCAGCAGTACAATTCAATTTCATCTATCGTCACTAATCATCCTGAAAATTGGTTGAGTTTTTGAGCGTACAGATAGCATTTACTTGCTCTCTTTTTGATTTCTTGTTTGCTTTTATTGAAACTGGTTTATGTTATGGGTTGTAAATTTATAATTAATTCACAGAGCAACGACATATATTAAGTTTCAACTATTGATCAGTCCTTGATCAGATCTAATACATCTACGCTGTATATACCTTACTACAGAATTATTCCGTCACTGCAGTTGCAGCCGTAAATCCGTTTAAAGCACGTACATTCGAGATCTCTCCCACTATTGTTATCTTTTCAGATGCATTTATTTGTATTATTTTTTTTTTTTAGAAACTTTCTTGCAATGATGGAAAAAAAAATAATGGAAGCTGTAGTGTTGATAAATATCAAGACAGTTTTTGAGAAATGCTTAATGAAATGATGGAAGTACATTCTTTTTTAGATTGATAAGAAAAATTTGTTGGAAATTCTTGGCTTAAGCAGAAAAAAATTTTTTTAAACAAGTGGGCAGTTTTTAACTGAAAATGATATCTAGCGTTCTATACCGTTTTCCGAAACCTCTTCATAAATGAAGCTTGTTCTTTTTGGGAAAAACTTTTATTCTTACTAGTGGTATTTTTTGATTTTCAAATGCCATAGCATCTGTTTCGATCTGATGAAGAAAGAAATTCATCTCTTGAGTTAGTTTGGTTCAGTTAAACGTTTGCCTAGATCTGAACTGAAACTCCAGGGATTTTTAACTAATACGTAGAATTTGATTGATTTCAATTGTGTTTTTTTTTTTTTTTTTTTTTTCGTCCTATCTGAATGGATTTTTCTGGCATATAGTTTGTTTCGTTCATGTACCGGACGGAATTTTTTACATTTTGTTGAGTATTAGCCCGTAAATATGTCATGAATATTAGGATTGTTCATAAAAGCGTTTTACTCGGGGAGTGATTACAATCATGATATATGTATTGTTAATGATGCTAAACATGGTGATGTACTCATATTTCCTTAAATAATTCGTCTATTTACTACTATAGTAATTTTCTCTTTTTTAAAACATTTTTTTGAGCTGGAAGAATGAGCGTTCAAATCCGAACTATTTTGAAGAAATGTTACAGTACATGTTCGTTTTATTTCTTTATGAATCCAGGGCATTTTCAGCAGTTTTAAAATTAAAATCGACGGTGTAGTTGCAAAATTATTAATAGCATGTTATTTTAAAAAATGTTTTAAATTCAAGAAAATGAATTTCATGCAATTGTAAGATTTTCAATCTCTATTAATGGTTGCAATACTTATATTTACCCTGGAAAGCACTGGGCTTATTTATCATCGTTTGTTTTCACTAACTACAAGCAGATGTAAAATGAATATAGGTAAATTTTAACATCGTAATGTGAAGAATCTATGACATCATTTAAGTATACCATTTGCGTCATTTTTCTTTACTGGTGTCATCTAACCCTACAGTTTGACAATTATGAATTCATCCAATCTAGTCGCTGAATGTTTACGTTTTTAAAAGGAGTTGTTCCTTTTTTTTGATAGCGAGCTATTTCTTTTGATTACATGCTGTGTCCTCAGAATGTCTTTTTACCACAGCTGAGGAGAAGTTCTGACTTAATGTAAGGCAACGGAAATGAATATCGTGAAAGACAATTCATTTGGTTGTGCATGCGAAATGTATTTTAACGAGAGAACATCAGTGATGGCAATTTGAACTGTCTACAGATGAGTAAGCATTTAGAGAAAAATAAAGCCCTTGGGGCAATCGTTGCTTTCATTTTTCCAGGAATATTCCTTTTTTTTTTCGGTCCTCATCATCATTTTTATTATTTCAGATTAGTTTCATCTTGTTCTCAATTATTGCCTTAAAGTTATTTTTTTTTTTTTTCCTCAAATATAGAGTTTTCCATCCTTCTGTCCATTCTCAGTTTTGGAGGCAATTCATTATCAGTCATCTTTATCGATTTTTTTCGCTTTCACTTTTCCCTGTGTTATTCATTACCTAACGTTGTTTTGAATTAATATGACAATAAAGGCTTACCAACTTTATCATCTCATTTATCCCCTCTCAAAAACTGAATGGATGGACAGAAGGATGGAACTCTATAGATGTTTAGTTCGAATTAATCTATTAAGATATGGTGCATACATTTACTTCATTAAAAAATTTCCTATTGCTCTTGCGCATAGAAAAGAGTATTTTGTTTAGGAAAAAAATTCTGAAGAAGTTAGTGAAGAATCTAAGTTTCATTTCAGTATGGATATAGAGTATGCGTGTTTAAAATTTTCTGAATGGGAAGCATATGATTATTACAATTGTTTATTTAAAGCCCGTAGTGTTTTAGATATCACATGGTACACTGATTTGATTATTGAGAAATAATGTGAGTGAGAGGGATGGATAATTTAATGTAAATGAAATATTTGCAGAATAATAATACTTTTCTTTCACTGTATTCATAGTGTGTTTTTGTAGATATGTACACTATATCAGTTTTGCATTTTGCGGTATTAATTATTCTATACCTGTTGAAAATTAGAATGTATTTTGTTTCAATCCATCGCCACGATAATAGGCCATTTGACACAAATTGATGAGAACTAGGGACTGCTGTTATAATACAATAGAGTATTTATCATCGAAAATGAAATTGGCCAGACTATCTTGTTAACTTGACGAAGCGGAGTATCGTCACTAATTGTTATTGAAATGTCTAACTTCGTAAATTTAGCCAGAGCTTTTATAGTGATTACTTCTCTTTGTTATCATTAGGATTATGCTCTTATCGAAGTAAAATAATAGCAGCAGAGGGTGTTGTCAGTTGTCACTCCTTTTAAATCTATTCGTTAATTAAGCTTTAACAACTATTTTCTCAATCTTTTCTATAAGGAAAATTTTCTTATTCTGCTTCATATCACTGTGTCTTTTATTAACATAAATTAATGAATTATTTTGGATTACGGATCTTTTTTCAAAAAGTTTGACCATTTTGATATGTCGTAAAATGATGGCCATATCGGAAAATTGTTAGTGCTTTAATTTTTCCTACGCTGTATTTGTACTTTATTTCATTTTTTATGCTTTCCTGAAATGAAGTTAGTTAAATTTGTGCTAAAGTTACTTAAGTTTTTGAATTTAAATGTGAAAAAATTTCCGAAAGGTTTGGATAAAGTTCCGACAATACTCGAGTCTATAGCTCTGCTTAATATAAAATTTCGGAACTGATGCTTTTGTATAGATTGAAAAATGCCGGATGTGATACATGGCAAAAATAAGATAACTAGCGAGAGTAGTTTTTGAAAAATAGGTTTTGAATAAAAAATTTTGAAGTTCTTTTTAACAAATTAAAGGAGAATTTCGCTTTTTCAGGACGGAAAGTAAGTTCCTTTTTAATCGAATTTAAGATTTTTTCGCTAGTTTTTCGTGTAAAATTCATGCTTATTTTTTCTCTTGGTTTTAATTAATTAAAGTGAAAATATAAAATTAAATTATTCCCATCTTCTTATTGGTTGTTATGAAAAAAGCTGATTATGTTGACTTTTTTTCATAGCATCGAACTCTCTAATGACGTAATATGCACGGGTAAATTTCGATCCGAAGTCGAGGATATTTGGCTGAATCTCCGTGGATAGGGGAATCTGCTTGCATAAACATTCCGTCGGGGATATCCATGGTATTTTCCGATGTTTTGTTCAGGCACTTTGTCAGATCCACGAAGAAATTTCAAAAGATGTTATGTTATGTATTTTGACTGCAATAATATAGATTCGTTCATTCTTTATTACTTTGATTATTTAATTGTCTTCAGTTAAAGCTAATTTAAATAAGAAAAGTAATTTTGAAAATTATTTTACAGATGTAAATATTAGATCTTCCTGTATTCTCTTCATCTTCTTTTTATGTTTGTTTGTTTGTTTTGTTTTTCCATTTGTTAAATAATATCTAATTTATCATCATTCTTTTTGTTTGCAGTTTTTAGAAAATCTGTCGTAATTTAGTGAACGATTTTCATTTGTTCGTATGATTGAGGCCAAAAATACATAGCTTCACTGCTGTATTTGTGAAGTCCTACTCGTCAGTTTTTTTATAATATTACTTTTTTTTAATAGAATTTTACAAGTTTCTGAGGTGCTTTCTTATTCTGTAAAATCAATAAGATTCCTTACATGCAGGCCGCATTTTATATCAGCAGAATTACATGTCATGCGAGAAATATGCAGATTTGAAAAATAATTTCAAATGATTGATTTTCGAAGGTAATTGATGGACAAAATGCAGTCTTGATAGTGCGACAGTCAGTATTTAAGCGTGTTAAACATATATATATATAAGCATGTTATTTTGGTTTCTTTAATATTTTTTATTTCTTTCGGAAATAAAAAACCTGCTTTTTCTCTCTCATTTTAAAAGTTGTAATTTAAGTTCTGCTAATATCAACACAACAGTTAAGGATACCTTTATTTAAAAACCATTTTACTATTAAAAGACCGATGTGTTTATCTATATTAATTACCATGCACCTTTACGAGAAGCATTTCTTGCTAAATAAGAATTATAAGCAGTATCATGAGAAGTGAGACTTAGCTTTCATGCATGAATCACTGAATTAATAATTTATAACTTTGTATGTGTTTAAGTATTCATCACGAGCAGGTATTTTAGAAAACAATGTCAATAATAAAATTTCATTTGAAATTATTCGGCGTTTGATTTTGAGATTTGGATAATATATTTTTCCTTTAATGGAAATGAACTTATAATGTATAAAAATGTTTTGGGGCGGAAATTACTGCAGTGTAGAAAAGCTATTATTCTGAGATGCCTCATGCGCGATTTATGTCGGACAACAGTTGAAATGATGCATCGATTGATACATTTTACGTTATTCTTTGGTATATTTTACATAAAAGGAAAACTTTTCTGGGGAAAAAACACACATTCCAGAAAATTTCGTCCCGATAAGTTCCCCTCTACATGTGTATGTATGCACATGTTTTCAAGCGGAGGAGGCATTTGACTACCATCAAATGCATTGATGAATATATGAAAACAGAGTGGAACGAGGGATAGAACGTTGAGTTGCCCTTCTCAAAAATTCGTTTTTGCTACTGCTGCTTTTCTTGCAACTATTTCCAGATAACCATTTACTCTCTATAAAAGGCTGCTGTCTTATTTATTCATTTTTTTCAACTTGAATAAATCAATAACTATAAATTATGAAGTAATCCTAATAGAATCAATAGTCATAACCAATCATGACAGCTGCTATTCCTGTTTTTATAATTACGTTTACTTTGCCACTTAATTTACATCTGTGTTATAAAGACACAAACTGAATCGCTTTTTTTTATATTCCAATTAAAATGTTGAAAATTAATTCTACTTTTTATGTGAAGTGAATTTTTTGAAATTTTTTTCTCACAGAAATGAGTAATTAAGTAAGCTTTAGCACTTAGTAAATGTTTCCGAACATAGAAATGGCGCTTTTTAGAAATGACAAAATCGATATCAGAAGTTTTCTTCATTTCACATCAAAATATATGAAATATAAAATTAAATTGAAATATAGAGAAACTGTTGTTATGTAATCATCAATATTTTGGTCAACCAGATTGTTTTGATTTTCTCGGGATTTCTCTTACGAATAATTTCCGATAACTTTTTTTATTGCTCTAAATAGTAGTTTAGAAGGATCGCGAAAATAGATAACTACGAATATAAGTTATATATTTATTTAGTTATAGTATCATATAATGGTTCTGATTTGAATCTGAATTTAGAAACTCGAAAATATTTTTTAGAGGAAATAAATCCACGAGTAGATAGATTTTGCTTTTTGGACAATTCATTAGTTTTTTCAAGAGGAAACTAATTTCTGAAGTTGTTTTAGTGGAATCAAATTTTAGAAATGAGAAGTTCCAGAAAATGTTGTTCCAGAAAAACATTAGATTTAATAAACATAGGAACTATCCTTGGTTGGCTCACTTCATGTCACTTCATTGTTTTCTCTTTATTCCTTTGTAATTTAGTAATTGCAAGCTACAGTTTGTTTCAGATCATATTTAACTCCAATAGCATTACGGCATAATACTTTATCATCTTGTAAGGAAACCGGAACTAGCAGTACATACGATATTGGAAATAGTGACAATAGCAGTGAGAGACTTTGTACAGTTCCAACAAAATATTATCATAACAACGTGACGACATCGATTACCATCCCCTACAACATCACTCATTCAAAACAGTCCTCAGCAGTTGTACTGCAGAATGCTCAGAAGGTATTACAATTTTTAGTTGAAATCGAGCCAATTTATAATAAAAACCAACCCCTTACATTTTCTTATAAATGCTTCATTCTTTTATTTCTTATGCACTTATTACATGCAAAAAATTTTTCGCCTGACAGGTTATGTTTAAGTTTTAAATGATGAATGAGAATCTTCAACTGGAAATTGAACTGGAAAGCTTAGTAAGGTCCACGAATGCTGTTTCCATTATTTAGAATCTCCAAAAAAATGCCTACATTTGAAACAGTTCTAATTTTTCGAAAACACTACACTTTTACCATAATTGGAACTTTGAAATATTGCACTTTTTTCTGAATGGGTAAAGATTTTTTTTTTTTTTTTTTGAAAGGTTCACTTTTTGAATGATAAAGATGAGGAATTGAGATTGACCATTTCAGATTTATTGTACTCCAGACTAGGATAGTATTTTATTTAGGAAATGTTATGGAACTATCCATTTGTTTTCTTAGTTTTTTTTTTTTATTTTTCAGGAAACTAATAAAGTAGCGGTCGGAGTGGTAACATTTAAACAAAAAAAGCATCTCATAAGAGGATCTCATCCATTCGTGATGACACAGCCAACCGACTGCTCTCAAAGCGTCTGCCTATCTCAAAGTTTGTTTTCTTTTCATTTCCTTTTTCTGAAATATATATATATATTTTATGTTTCTGATAATTATTTTGTTTTGTACCTCCTCTTTTTTAGCGGCCCTTTTTAGCATGTATCATCTTCGGCTGTGGCAGCAAAGTTTTTAGTATATTGAGAAAGTGTGGCAATGTGGGGGGAGGGGAGCCTAGAGTTTGTTGAAACTTGAAGATGTGAAAAAAAGGAATCTAAGCTTGAATCTTTCCCACAAAACACTGGCAAAAGGAGAAAGGTTGAATCATTTAAATAAAAAAGAGATCTACTAAATGTATTTTTTGAAAAAGGTCATTAACTACATATAGCAAAAATGTGAATAATTAAGGCAGTGAAGGGAAACAGAAATAGGTTGATATGAGGAATGGGAATAATAGGAATATTACTGGCTTGATTTTATTTTACTGCATTTCATTCAAATCGGAACATGTTTAAAAGCAGTATATCAAGGTAAACTAGGAGTGCTGTTGAACTTGAAACTTAATTAACACATAAATTTCTAAGATACCTAATATTCCTCTAAAAATCGAACTACTGTTATATGCTTGAGCGCAGAGAAGTGCGGAGGAAAGGTAAAAGTTACAGACGTCAAAGGAAGGACAAAGGAAAAAGGAAAATTTGAAATTCAAAAGAAAAATATTGTGGTTTCTTCAATATAAATTCTAACAGCTTTCAACATTTCTTACAAAAATTTTATTTTTATCATTATTGGTAATCATTGAAAAGCTTTATGAATAGAGCGCTCCGTTTTAGAGTATTTTTTCCTCACTTCAGCAACAAAACAGCTGGGAAGCTTTTTTCTAATTTCATTCGCTAACTACAAAATATTGAAAACAGGCATAAATGAACTAATAAACTTTTGATTAATAATGAATTTCCGATATTTCTTCGCCTGTAAGTACAAAGAATACATTACCTTAGCTGAGTGAAACCAATTGATGAAGTGATTCATCTGTAAATAAATTCCGAATACTTGAAGTAAACAGTGCATACGAAAACATAATATTTTCCCTTCCCCCTCCCTCTCCGCTCCCTCCCCTATTATGTAAGTTTTTAAATTCAATTATAAAATTTATCCTATGAAGAAAGTTTTGTTCCGGTGTTATACGTTAGTTTCTTATGTTTTATGGATAGCAAGTTGATAAGCATGAGTTGGATGAAATAGGTAATTTATTTCTTGAACATGACTGAAATTTTACAGTTTTAAGTGTAGAGTTTTATTTGTTTAAAAGTCCTGTATTTCTCATCATTTAACGCTTCCATTGCATTACTTTTTTTTTTCTTTTTTTTTTTTTTTTTTTATAGATCTTCTACCTCCAATTCATGAAACACTAACGTCATTTCGTCAGCCTTCGTCTTTATTGAATGATATGATGGCTCCTGGAAGTCATCGTCATCGTCTTCAAAATCAGATGACATCAACGGATGTGGAACGATCTCTTGATAGTTTCGAGCGAAACCAACAACATATCACTGCACAACCATCTGGTACATCAAAAAATACGACTGTCATGCAGGATGTTTGTTCCGGTGTTAGTAGTGATGTTGATAATAGCGATACAATATACACTCAGCAACAAATTACGGCGATGGTATCGGATGCTGATTGTATGTACAATCGACGACAGCTTGCTACAACGGAACAACCTAATGCTATGAATTCGTATCATCAAGGTTCATATACTGTTTTTATGTAGTAATTGTCGTTGATCTTTGATCCTTTCTGTACTGCATCTATGCTTTTATGTTAATTACATTATCAGATCATTAACAAATTTCAATATAAGCAACATAGGTATATGCTTGTAGTGATTATTATTTTTTGTACGGCTTGATTGTACGGTCTACAATATATTTTTTGAAGTGACGAATTTTATTTAAACTTACTTGCCATACTCTACTTAAACTTTTGAAGAATGAATATGTTTTAAAAACAATTATTCTATCTGATTATTAACAAAAAGTCATTTAATTTGTTAGCATTGGTTCGTTTGGATATTTACTATCTTTTCTTTTAACTTCAAATTTCAGTTTATTGAAAAAAAAAAGGAACCTATGATAATAATCTCAGTTCTTTCTATTTTGTACTTTGTGATGCACACTGATTGAAATGAGTGCCGCTGGTGAAGTAAGATTGGCTAGTTAGATTAAACTGCATTTCTCATCAGATTTATTAATCTCTTTTTAACGAATTTAAAGCGTATTGTGTTCTTTTTTTTTTTTTTTTTTTCTTTAAATATGGAGTCAAGATTTACAAATACGGAATCAAGATTTTCTTTTCAAATCTTTTTCATTTATATATATATATATATACATAAAATGCAGCGTAACTGCATTGCAGACTTAACAGCGGAATTGATACCAGCGACCAGCATTGTCAGTAATGATCGTTCTGATGAACGGCACTATTATACAGCAACGACTGGCTCGCGTCCTCAGCAACATTTTATACATAATAATTATACTCCATCCGGTCTTTGTAAGTTCTAATTTCATGAATTTTCAAAAAAATTTTACATATGTCAAATTAAAGAATGGATTGGGGGAAAATTATCATAGAATTCAATGAATTCTTCATTTCTGATTAGTCAGCACAGTGATATCAGCAATATTTTGCAGAACACTGTGTGATGTATGTTCGAAAAAGAAGTGGATTTATATATTATTTTGTTTCATTTGTTTAAAGCTAAGATTCTTTTTTCATATCTTCTTAAGAAATGAAACTGCACTATAATAATTTTTGCAAGTGCAGTATTTGATATTGGCAATACAGCTTTATTGATTTTCTGTTCTATAAAGTGAAACATACCTTAAAAATGATGGAGCAATTTAAATATGTAATAATAGCCTTTTTTTAAGTGTGTTCATTGCTTACACACCTTATTTGATTTCGTGTCCATCTTAAACTAATTCTCAGTTTCTAAAAGATTTTTATATTTGTATTTTCTGAACTTTTACACTGTTTTTAAAGATTTGGGGAGTTATTTGCTGCAGGCATATCGGATATAATCTCGTTATTCATTCCCTCTGCGGGAAGAGGAGGTAGAGTAGTCTTTTTGATCTGATTCTGATTCTGTTTCATTGTTGCATTTGACAAAATAATGCAATACTTTGGTTTTTCTACAATTAATTTTGTTTAAAAAATATTTTTTTAGTTGTTGTTTCATTTAGCAGTCAGCTGCGATTTCCTTTCGTTTTTCGAGACTGAAAATTGTGGGTGGTTTTTATCCTCACTTATTTCTTCCAATTTGTACATTTTCCACCAAACAGTTACTGATAGCCTCGGATGTGGGTGATTACTCTCTATATTAATTGTTGAGTGCTTGGGAAACTATTATTCGAAATTTTTACAAGTTTTACTGTTTGTATATTTATCTAATTACGGTTAGTTGGGTTATAAGAAGTCTGGATACCTTAGCTCTCTTAAAAATAATATTATTTATGCTGCAACATATCTTTATATTGACAGTAGTTTAATAATTTTTAATAAATTTGTGAATAACTAATAAGGCTGTGAACCTTGAGGACTTTGAGATTAGGTCTTTCTAAAGATATTTAGGATTACCGGCCAGTAATGTGTTACAGAAATTCATGAATTAGGTCATGGAAAAGATCGGAAATATTCATTGCGGTATATTTAGCGGGTTTTTACTTTATATTGCTGCGCATTTCAGCTTCTGAATATGCAAAAAGTGATTTTGACCTTTCAAATGGATATTTCCGGATGTATATGGGGATTATTAATTGATGTAGCAGTGGTTGGAGTGAATAACTGGGCAGTAGTTGGAGTGGATAACTGCTGGAATGGTAAATTCATCACCATGGTGATAAGGAACGTGGGGGTCGTTAATATTTGTTTGTATTAGTTATCATTTTTTTACTTCTAACGTTTTATGTATATCTAAATTTTTGATTACTTCATTTTTTAAAGCTTTTTCCAAAAAGTGCTTTATCCTTCTGAATCTTATAATATTACCCTTTTCACTAGTCAGTATTTGGCATCGTAAAGTGCTGCGTCAGATAAAGTATAGAAAGAACTGTGACGAGTGGCAATTACAATATTTTTTTTTTTTTTTTTTTAGATTCAAAATTTAGATTCCATTAGGCTTGGAAGAATTATCAGTTATCATCTTGATACTTCGAAGTAATACTAGGATATTTAGGAAGGAAAAATTAATGAGCATCCTGCTAGTATTTAGTACTGGAGAAGATAACAACATGAGTTGGTTGGCTTAGGTGTTTTTTTTATGTATCTTTCAAAGCTGTGAGCTTAATTTTCAAGTTTTTGGATTTGTCATTATTTCTTATCATCTCTTCCACATAATTTCTGAAAATATTGATACGCTCTTTAATTCATCTGGAATACAGATATTTATGATCATGGAGTAGTGATGACATGTTCTCCTATTTGTTGTCCTCATTGCTGTCGACTTCTGTGATCTGTGTAAATTTGTTCTTTATTTCAGCTCAGCAGCAGATGCTGACGAACACACGAAATGCAGCAACATTGGCGGAAAAGTTACCTGGATTACAAAGACAAACTTGTCAATTTATCAATGCCACTGAAACTGACCATAACAGTGGGGCAGGTGAAACTGATTTAAATTTTTTGTGATATCAGTTCAAGTTGAGAAATAATGCGAATTTGCTGTTGCAGAAACATTTAACAACACTGTACATGTGCAGAATACTGATAACAGTTACATCTGATTTGAATGTCTGCATGTCCCATTTCGCAGACATTGTACTTACATATTATAGATGTGCTGCACATACTATTCTTTGTCATGTGAGTAATTACATTTAATTAGTTTTTAAAACAATAAGTTATCGAGTAATTATCTGCAGGACCGTACATGGTAGTGAATCAGCAACAGTCTGTTAGTACTTGTGATTATCTGAACACTAGTTTAAGCAACGGTGGGAGCAATATCAACAGTGTGATACCATGTTCGAAAGGTACAGGTTCGTTGGTAACAAATGCAAAACATCTTGAGTACTACGTATAACCTGTATGCTTAATAATAATAATGGTAGTACTAATGGAGCGAATAGAGATATTGATGAAGATGGAACAAAACTTCAGTGTTATACACCAGCTCACGGAATGTTATAAGGTCTGCAACTGCCTAGAGATTTGTCCGTTCGCTTATTGTAACTAATGCTACTACCGTGTAAGACCTGTGGCTTTCTCAGGAGATCTTAATGTGCTATCAAAGATTTTGCCACAATAAAGTAATCTTCACAGTACTATATTATTTGATTTTTATTAAACTTTAGTATGTAGTTCGTTTTTTGTTTTTTGTTTTTTTTTTTTTTTTTATTAAATTTTATGTAGTTTCGTTTTCGAGTAAGATATTTGTAGTATTAGTTTATTCTTTTTTGTGCTGAGAAGAGGCAGATGAACACTTAAAATGTGTCACGAATCGTGGATATAAATTCAGAATTGGAGAGCCTATCTTCAATAAAAAGTTAAATTAGATGCTGCACGTTGAAAACAATCTTAATATCTGCAAAGTAATTTAAAATTCTGGGTTCTTTTCATTTTTTCTGCGTTTGGTTTTTATTTATATCATTTGTCCTACATTTAATCTTTGCGCCCGGTTTATGTGAGATCACCCTTTTTTATTACTTTTCTTGAAAAAAGAGTTTGAATGAATTTAATTTAAGGATTAATAATTTTTCTTAAATTTTGTGCTGATTCATTAGTTTGAGAACCGATTTTTTTTCTTCTCTTAAAGAGATGGCATTTATTTTTCTGGATTTTTATTTGAAACAGCACCACTTCATGTGGTCAAATTCTATGTTGTGTTTTAAATTAACTGATATAATTCTTTCATATTGTGAAACTAAAGCTGCTCAATAGTTTGAATTGTGGTATTATAGACTTAAAGTTAGATTAACTTCTGAAAATTTACCACTTCTCATGAATTGATAATCCACATATCCCGCTGAAAATAGCCTTCTTATATTCTGCTTATAAGTAAAAGTGGTTATTTTGATAAAAGTATTATCTGCAAGTAATGTAAATGTATCGACGTTATAGGTGAACATATTCAAAGTACATTCAAAATAATTGTATGGGTAAGCAGAATATTTCCTGTCCATGGATTACCGTAAGAAATTACATTTTATTTGCAACATTTTTGGAAACTATGTCATTACGGAGTTTTATTAAGCAAATTTATGCTTTCCTGAGTGCATTTAAATATGTAATTGTATCATTGAAAACTTCCAGTACTTCTTGCTAAAGTTAAATTTTTATTATTCAGCAACATATACAACGATTAGAGCCGCTCAATTAGTGTATATAGACATTTTTTAAACATCACGGATCGTCGTTCCTACTATCGAGTTAGATAATTGCCAATAAATTTGATACTAAGTTGATTGCGGTATATGTTTTTATATATAATTGATGCGTAATGGGAATATGAACTTTTTTGCAACGTTAGATTTTCGGATGACAAGCAAGAAGAAATGAATTAGATGAAAAAATTTCATACATTTTACACAACATAGTAATCATTAAGGAAAAACCATAATCTGTTTTCTAAACTCTAAATCCTTAATACTTTAATCATGCTTCATCCTCACCTTTTTAATCAGCTGTTAGTTGGTTTTCTTGTCATCATTAATTTGCAGAATTTTGGCTTTGTTTCGTCATTAATTTGATGTTTTAATTTCTCTGTGCTATCTTCCCTCTTTTTTTTTATGTTACCAGATAAAATAAGCTGGATTAGAGAAGAGATAGAAAGGAAGTGGAGAGAAAAGGACGCAAAGTTACAGATGAAAGTAGTAGTAAGGCGTAACTTTACAAAAGTGCTATGGAAGCAATAATAGCACATAATTTCCTGGGACTGCCAACGTTGTTACTGTTGGAATGATAATCTGTAATATCGAGATTTTAGAAATGATGAAAGAAATCTGTCATCCTTTACCTTCATTTTGACACGATAGGTAATTTTAAGTCTACGACATTAAAAGTGATAAGCTTTACTTTTCAATCTGTCCAGTGTTTATGGTGTGTTCATGTGTTTTTATCACTCTATGCCACTTTAGTTTTCTTATTACAATTAGTTTTTTATTTGAATCTTACTTCGAATTAAAGTTTGTAATGATGAATCGAAACAGAAGATAGAAATTGATATTATATAAAGTGTTTGGTACGAATAGACATATCTGAACGTGACCTGTTCCTTCCCATCGTAGCATGCCCTTCGTTTATTAGAAGTTTCTACCAGATTAGCTCTTCTGCGGTTCTGTTACGTAGTTACTGTTTTTGTTTCATTAATTTTTAAAAATTTTCTACGATTCTAGTGCTTAAACCGTTTGAATACATTTTCTGATGTTTATGGATTTATTTATCTTTTTATATTCCTCAGAAAATTGTCAGTATTTTAGGTGCGTTAGGAGTGAGCGATCCAGTAATAACGGGTCAGCGAACTTATTTGCTTGGTAGTACCAGTAACAATAGAAGCAATAACAATGGCAGCGGAAGGCAAATAGATACAATGAATATGTCAAAAAATTATGATACCTCTTCAGGAAATAGCTATCAAGTGCAGCAGCATTATGTTCCTATGCGATCATCATTCAGGTCAGTGCATGTCTTAGCTCGCTTTGAAATATTATCTTGTCGTCGTGATTAACATAGAACGAAGAGGTAATATTGAGACCTAGCAATATATATCCTAAGAAGCAGAAAGCGGTCGGAAAATTAATGCTTTGATTCAAGTGACATTTCTACTTGTTGACTAAAGTTTTCTACTTGTCAAGACCAGTTGGTCCGATTCCACTAGTGATCAAATCCATGGTTTAACTTAAGTTTCGTTTCCATCTAGTATATAAGCCTTATTTATTGCTGTTGCACTCATTGCTCTCCTTTTGATGTACTATTAAATTAAAAAGATGCAATATTTGTGGCAGCTCTTAGGATAGTAAAATACTAATATATGTTGTGTATAGAACGGCTGAGCCGTAGCATTCATGAGGTGAGATGGTGGAAGGCGTTATGCAAAGGAAAAATTTTTGTGAAAACGGTTTTTTTTTCGTAAACTCATCGGTTTCTGTTTCGTTGTGTAAATGTTTTTATAAAATACAACACTGTAAGACGTCCTTTCCTCTGTCTCTTTTTCTTTCTCCATTCGATGTAGCAGTATTGTTTACATTTCGATTTATATTTTTTAGCTGACATCCATTTCTTGCTTAGCTTTCAATTCCGCTCAAAATTTTGTTCTTACTTATTTGGTGGGATTACTTCATTATCTCGATAGGCTATTATTGGAAGTACTTCAGTAATAATTAGTTTTAAGATGTTTCAAAGAATAAGCAAAAGATTTTTTTAAAAACATTCCACTGAGTTATGCAAAGAAAGACGATAGTATATATTCTAGTAATTCTATTGCTTATCCAGAATTTGAAGAGCTAATATTTTTAAAATGAACAAGAAATAGTCAAAACTGTAACTCACATTTTAGAAATTTGAAAAAAAAGGAAAATTTTCTTTGCGGTGTATTTTTTATGGAAGTACAGTATATGTTATGTCTTTTAGATCGTCAAATACAACTGAACGAAAGTCAAATCGTTCATCGTCCAAAAAAGAACCAATGGATCCAAAGAATGTTGAAGAAGAAGTGGCTAGGTGTGTTTTTTCAATCTTTAATTTTGTCCCCTTTTACAAATTAAATTTGCTAGAATTTTCATTGTTTGAGTAATAATTTATGAGAAGTGCTCCTGAAAATTATTTTTACAAGTTTTTTGTTTTGTGGCATAGACTTATTCGATAATAATGTGGGGAGTGTCACGAAAATTCGTACTTTCAGGAATGTTTCGCAGATTCTAAGCGCATCACTGAATCAGAAGTCATCATCAGGTTTGTCACCCATCCTTCAGAATTTTCACTTAAATAGTTCGTAAATAGGTATTCTATTCTAATTTCTAACTTCATGTTTTAGATGGATCACTACTTGAATGTCATGAATTAGCTTTCCATTCAGAATTGCTTGTCTGTATTAGATTAAACTTACAAAAAAATTCAAATTTGCATATTTTTTACACTATCAGTAATTTAAATTTTACTGAACTTAAGAAGAAAAAACTAGTGAAGTGGCTACAGTTTCAAAATATTGGAAAGTTTAGAAGAATTAGGGAAAATGAAAGAATAAGAACAAGGACTGCTGAGGGGAAATATTAGTTTGACAGTTGTGCTTATCTGTTCTTTCTAATCATTTTTATACATACTCTTTTCTAGTTTTCCTTACTATATAATTTCATTACGTGACTGTACTGCATTCATCTGATATTTGTTCTTGTTTATTTATAAGAATATGACTTATTAAGATAGATAGATAGTTTTCATAATTTCGCTAAATATCTCTATGAGAACATTCCCTTTTTCTCAGAATTGCAACTTCAGGTTTTTCGTCAACAGCAGGAGGATCAGGTGTAAATGGCTCATCCAGCAGCACTACTACTGCATCACTGTGTTCTGCAGCAACAGCTAAGAAATCATTTACTTGCGTTGATTGTCATAAAACTGTAAGCACCTCTCGTAATTTACAGCGTCATCGGATGTCCTGCAAATTAGCGCAGGCATCGTCAAATTCCGGAAAATCGATGACAGCTGGCGCTGGACAACTTCAAGCAACTGTTATCACCATGCCTTTAAATTCCACACAAGTTTGTTTTTCTGAAATTATTTGTTTGAAAAGCGTACTAAAGATAGAATTAAGGAATGAAATATAAAAGTGGTGCTGGTTCTAAATTAAAAGTATGATTTGTAAGACATTTATGAGATATGTAAGTCGATAGGATAGGTAATGTGATATGTTTATGTCTAGCTTATTTCAAGGTTATAATGGTTCAATATCATCCTAACAGAGGCAGCAACCGAGAATATTAATAGTTTGGTATTATTATTTAATATGGGAAATTGAATTATTGAAACTGAATTATTCTAAATCTGATTTTTTATGAACTCTTTAATGATTTACATAATTTTTGTAATTGTTAATTTGAAGATTAATGGATTATCAAATGCATATTCGACTGATCAGAGGTGTATGAATAGCGCAACAACAAGTTCAGTCTCATCATCAGGAATAGTACCAGTGACAAACGTTGTTCCTGTATCTTATAACAATAATTTAGCCGAGTCACTTAGTGGTACCGTTGATGTCTCATCGGTTAGCAGTCAACGAACCGCACAAATTTATACCCCTCAACCGGAAATGATTACTCCGGATGAAAGGTTTTGTTTTCCGGCATTTTTTAGTTTTACTTAGAGCTACACATTATGGAGTACGAAATCGTTCCTTTCGAAAAAATTCCATTTTTTTTACATATGCACTGGGACTTGTTAACGAGAACAGTGTTTAAAGAATATGAGATGGCGTTGTTAATTAAAATGGTTATAGTACAATTAACTGGTGCCGAAGCTCCATTAATGTTGATTTAACCTTGATCTTTTTTTACTACCCAAATTTCGTATAAAAAAAAAAAAAAGGATTTAGGTTGAGACCAGTGTGTGAAGATTCATATTTGGATAAAGCAGTAGCAGAGATGACACGAAATGGTGATTTAAACACAGTAACTGCTGGAAGGTATACTCTTTTCCTGCTGTTCAAATATCTATAATGCATATTTTACTTTAATTTAATTTAAACACAGTTGCTTAAATAAAAATAAATTCTATAAGCATTAATTATAAAATGGGTAATCATGGAATTAGCCAATTTTTTCTCTCGATGTGACAATATTTAATTAGCAAGAAATTATTTCACTGATTAAATTATAATAAGCAATAAAGCATTCTGCATTGAAGATGGTGATCATAGATGACTTTGCAAACATGGTTGTTTAATCCTATTTTATTCAATTTTACTTTTGAACTATTCTTTTTGCAAACCTGAAATGTTACGCTTTTTCTGTTAGAAAAAGTAACTGGTGTTAAAAATGCTTGAACATTTGATTTGGAAGAATTAAAAGAAGGAATTTATTTATCCATTATCGAAATGTAACGATTAACAATGATGTCAAGATTAACAATGAATTCAAAGTTTTCAAATAGAAGGGAAAATGAGATCAAAAGACTGTAACTAGTGGAAAAGGGATGTGTCTTTGTTTTTCGACGGTTTCCGAAGGCGATGATTTTTTCTTCTTCGTTTTGTGAATTACTTTGCTTAAATTTTTTGAAAAAAGTTCACTCCCGCGGTTTTGATAATTCTTTCACTTTTTCGAAATCAAATAGTTTTTATTTTTTTCTGATTTAACATTTATTTTTTTTTTTTCTTTTTTGATGCTTGAAATTCTGTCTAAAAAAGTTTCGGAATTTTAAAAATGTGGAAAGAATTGTTTATCTAGAACAAAGCTGTAGAAAATGGTTCTGTTTTTGAAGAAATAGTTTTTCGGGACCATGCGTTTAAATTCATGACAAAATTTTGGGACAATTTTGACATAGCTATTCAGGTTCCAAAATTAGTGAGAAGAATAAATTCCAAATCAGTGGCTTCAAGCTTGTTAGCAAATTGAATTTTTTAATGCTTGCGCTTGTTCGTATCTCTTAGAAGAATTATAATCTGTTTCTTTTTGTTTTGTTTTGTTTTCTAATTTGATTTTTCTTATCATGAGAATAAATTTTAGGTTGGCTTCAAGCTTGTTAGATGAAGATGACCATACATTTTCGACGATATCCTTGCCAACAGCTACAACCGCAATGGATGATTCCCATCCGTTTCAATCGCCTATCCAAACATCGAACAATGAACCAGTTAATCTTCCTAACTTTATACAACACTCAGTGCAAATCAAAAAATCAGTATGTCTTTTTTAAAAGAATTTCGCGCTTATTATCAGCAAACTTTTCATATTAATGAAGCAAGTCATTGAAAGTGAATGAAACAAGTCTAAGGTGAGATATCTGAAATAAAAATGAAATCCACTGAAGCGATTCTTCACTTCTTTTAATTTAATCTGCACCAATGCATTATTTTTTTCAAAGATAATTAGTGGTAGTTTTTTACCTTAGAGTAATTCAATGCAGCTATACCGATGTGAATCATGTAACAAAACGGTCAGTTCGAGCAGAAGTTTGAAAAGGCATCGTAGCACCTGTAAACAGTACCAGCTTCAATATGGGCAATTGAGAGAAAACGCATCTGATAATACCAGTTCCACAGCGGTTCCTAAAAGGTTAGATAATTGTAGTGAGAAAAAAAGAAAATCTACGTTCTTACGCGAAGTAGATTTGTAATATGTTTCCGCTTAATTTGTTCAAATTTAAGATCCAGATTATGTTGATGTTCAATTTAGATCTTTGGAAATAGAGTAAATTACAAATTTTGATAAATAATATATTTTATTAATTTTGACAACAATATTATGGTCTCAAAAGTTGCACTTTCTTCCAATAAACTTCTAATTATACTACATTTTTCTGGTGGTACATATATTGCTGAATGTTTTTGTAATTCAAGTGCAAATGCTTCACATTTGGAAGTTACCCACTTGGAAATTTTCTGAGAAGCTTAATTTGAAATGCCTCTTTCTGTTCTATATAACATCTTTTAGTACTTTCAAGTTAAAAATATATTCTTACTGGCTGGGTATCAAAGCTTGATCCACTAATCCATCTATTAGGTAGATTTAGCTGTAATGTTTGAATGACTGTCATATGACATGATAGTCATTCAAATTAGCGAATGAAAGATTGTGTTGAATTTACTGCATGAGAACTGATTCTTCGTTTTTTCTCTGATCTGCTTTGTTAGACAATGAGCTTTGTATACTGCATGAAATACTCCTTTTTCTCAATATATAGATGATATAATTAGGCACTCTAAATATAGAAATGCTTTCCGCGTTCAATTTGTCAATATGTATGATTCCGTTGCTCAATATTGCGTTTCAGTAATGCTATTTGCTTTTCAGTGAACCACTTCTGTCAAAGTCGGTGATTGAATTATCGTCTTCACAGGAACTGTTGTTGCAGCGACAATCTCTTGCCTGTGTTGTTACTGAATTGCCTATCGTTAATAATACCGTTTCGTCGGCTTCCTGTAGTGCGCAGATTCAACCAGAAGTTCAAATCTCCAGGTCTGTCAGATTTTTTTAGTTCGATTTTTTTTTTACATTACCTCTGTAAATGCATGATTGATTCCAAGTCCAATTCTTCTATTAGTTTCATCAAGATTTTGAACTGTACTTTAATAATATAAGTCTTAGTAAAAAAAAAATACTTATTGTATTAAATTCTATTTCCAATAATTTAATCCGTAAAAAGACGGTAAAGATCATAGGAACATTTCAGAATTGTATAGGTATAAGGTGAATAAGCTAGGATCCTAGAATTAATCAATTGATAAATTTCGATTTTTTCTTTTATTGTTTTTGATAGACTTGCTAAACTTTGAAATTTTTGTCGAAGACTGCGGGTGATGTAGTAGATTGGTCGATTTTGCTTGTAATACTAATTGTTTTAGTGTGGAAAGTAGTCTAGTACAAAATCGAACAAATAATAATAGTATAGCAACAGCTGGCACATCTGTCAGTGCAAATGTTTGTGAGGATTGTAACCGAATTTTATGTAGTGCATCGAATCTGAAACGACATCGCGCGACATGTAAAGCGGCTTCCGTGTTCAAGTAGGTCTTATCAGTCACCAAATTCTCAAAGCTTTTAAAGAGATTTGATTAATTTTCAATGAAAAAGTGATAATCTTACCTTTTTTGGTCTAAAATCTCTTATTACTAATACTGAACATGACACTAACATTAGTGAACTTAGAGAGTAAAATGATCTTTGTGTACTTGCTTGAAGGTTCAAGAAGTGGGCTTCGCCCTAAATTATGCTATTCCAATTATTGCAGTTTATATTATGCTTCCTAAAACTTTGGAATCATATACAAGCAATTTTATGATTCATTATTCAATTGTTTCCTTGCTTTTTGCAGACCCGGGAACAACAAACTTGAGGATCGACATTCAACCTCTGTTCTTACGACTTCATTAAGCACTATAGTAGAACAGCCACGTAGGGAAGAGCAACAATATAAAAACGGTCAAGTTGACGAACGTGAACGTTCAAACTCTGATCGTTCGTCTGTTGCAATGCTTGCTGCAACAAAAGAGGCACAAAGTGTAGCTGTAGCTGCAGCAACCATCGACACTGCTAATTATTCCAAAGCAACCGCAAATGCAGCACAGCAACGGTTGAGCAATGATGCATCGGTTACTTATATCACATATGATACTAATATAATGTCACTACAGCAGCAGCAACAGCAACAACAACAACAACAGATTGCAACTGAAGTGCAGCCAATTTCGCAGCTGGAATCACTGAAACTCGGAGCTGCTAAAGCCAAACCATGGGTCATTTTTCTGTCTATGAAAGTTTAGGAGATTTACTTTTGCATATTTGCAAATATTTTTTGTTTCTTACTAAATTCTTCATTTTCGAAAATCCAGACTTTTTCTTGAAGATTTTTCCTCATTAAAATATGCAGTTTATGTATTTGAATCATATTTATTTGAAGATAACTGTTGGTGAACATTTGCGAGCACGACATAATCAACGTATCATCCAGCAACGACAGCAACAACAACAACAACAACAACAGCAGCAGCAACAACAACAACAACAACAACAACAACAGCAGCAACAACAACAACAACAACAGCAACAAATAATAGAAATGCAGCGACAACGCGAATTAACCACACCGTATGTACCGGAAGCATTGGGCACTTATGCGCAGGCAGCAACAACGCCTGTTGCTTATACTGAAGAAAGTATTTCAACCCGATTACGGCAGCAACTTCCGAGTTCTGTATTGACGTACAATGAGAATAATGTCAGTAATGACGACCAGCCCTCGATGACCTTGAAGCATAAGTTAGTTGATAAACCAAAATAATGTATACCAGTCATACTTGATTCTTAGATTTCAAAAAGCTCATGTTTTTCATCAAAAGAATAATCGGAAAAAATGGAAATTGACGTCACCCCAAAATTAGCAAATACCTGAATCATCTCAAAATTAGCAAATATTTCTATTAATTGAAATTGGATTTGAAAAATTAGTAAAAATGGATTAAAAAGAGTTAAAAGTAAGTCAAGTAGAATTCTAGGAATACAAAATTTTATGTAATGATTAGTGAGAATTATTTCTATGAATTTGTAAAACATGCATTATATTTATGGAGTTTTGTAAAATGAAACGGTTCAGGGTAGCACATATTCTGTGTGACATATTTTTTTCTTTCGCTTATCTAATATAATTTACGTTCAGAGATACTGTCATTTTTGAAGGGATCCTTTTTAGCGCTCCAAGACAGATGTCCTATTACACAACAAGGGTACATTATGATGGTACTAGTGGCATTATCACTTGTGGTACTTACGATCAGCAACAAAGGAGAAATAGTTTTAAAATGGAACCATTATTGAGGTAAATTGAGGAATGAGATTTTAAATACTTGCGAGTCTTTATTTTATTTTTTAGATAAACAAAATGCTTATTTAAAGAAGGAGGAATTTTATAACGAAAATCCAAAATCTTTTAGTACGTTGATAATAAATTACCGAAACGAGTAACATTGCAGTCCCCATGATACATCTGCACGTGCCTCAGCACCACCAATTCTAACAACTTCCACTACTCCAAGTAATTATTCTGGTACGACACAAGCACAGTTGCCAAAAAATGAGAAATATGAAGCTCGGCCATTGGCAAGTATTATCACCACTGCACCACTCTCCACGTTTGTTATCACAATACTGTTTGGTTTGGCTAACTAGGCAGTTAGTTCGTTAAATTCGTAGATTACAAAATAGATGTCATTTACTAGTTAAAAAAAGGAGCATGATTAGAAGCTGAAGAGTTTGAACTTAGCAAGTAGATTGGATTGAGCAAAGTTTAAATTGGGATTTTTTTTGTATCATAAAAAAAAAAAATCTTTTTTCAAATTCAAGGTCATGCTCTGCAGCTGATTCAAATCAGTCTCAACGGCAGCAGAGTGCGAACTCTGCAGTGTTCACTACACCTGTGGTGTGTGACACTGTGCAGTCGCAACAACCAACACCATCAGCTTCATCAACAACACTTTATCGGAGCAGTGAAAACATATCATCTGCCGCAACTGATAATTATCGTTATGAATGTCCTGAATGTCAGAAAACGTAAGCAACCATACTATATGTTGCGTCGTATAACATTACCTAAAATTATTACGTGATACATTTTACATAATACTATTTTGTTTAACACAATTCACTATATGTAGCAAGCAATTCACATGGCCCGAGTACGCATAAAGAACAAAATTCTGCATAGTTCATTCAATCAATGTATATAACAGCTCAGGCATGTGTTCAATACCCATTTGCACTGCATGTTGATATCTAATGAATGAATAGTATCCTGAAAATTTCCACAAGAGTTTAATTTATTTTATATAGCAAGATGAATCATGCGATCTGCCACTTAAAAATTTGATTTTTCTGTTAGTCTCTAGTATTAAAATATAGGATTGGTTATTGTTGGAAATCAGCAATGTGTACCCCAGCGAGTGTTTCTTTTTCCGTTTTTATTGGGACGAACTGTTTTTTTATAGCTCGAATTTTGAAGATGCGATTAGTCAATCGATTGATCGATCGGGCAGTTGCTCGGTTGAGCGTGCCAGACGGGTTGTTGCTCAATCTGTGTAAAATTTTTGCTGCAAATCTTCGCACTTCATTTTCTGTGGTCGTGGTGTACTGTAGCTTTGTGTCTTTACCCTGCATTCTAAGTTTCAATTTCTGAAGTTTGCTTTATTCTTTAAATCCTTTACTCTGCTATCACATGTAGATTCTGTAAAATTTAGCACCTGAAGTAGTGAATGCTTAATCATGTCATCACAATGATAACAATCCTCCGTTATCATCTTTAAGGAATGTTATTGGAGAAAACCCAATATTTCAGTATGTTCTATAAGCCAACAAAGTTCCTGCATGCGTTTCGTTTCAATTTGTGTCTAATTAGTTGCATGTTAGACAAATATTCTGTATTATTTGTTAATTTCATGCATATTATTTGTTGATTTTTCTATTTTGTTAATTCTTTGTTAATTCTATTTGTTAATTCTACCTGTTATTTCCGTTCTGATATCCGATCTATCCATCACTCCAAATTTCCAATATATTTTGATTTTCAGACTAAACTATAACTTTTTTCTTAAAATTTCTCACACTTGTCATCTCACTTTTGTTTGCTCGTGGTTTTACGTCGGTTCTAGTCTTTGATAAAGAATTTTCCTAATTTTAGGTTAGGAAATATTGTTTCTCTCCCCAAATTAATTTAAAATTTATTGAGTTTCGGTTAATTCATGTTTACTTTTCAGTTATTCTTGTCGGAAAAACGTCAAAAGACATCGTATAGCGGTACATAAATTGACACCTGAAGAAGTGGCCAAAATTGAGCCTATACGAGTGCTACTTACAAATGATAGTGAACAGAAACAACGACAACTGCAGCAACAACGACAGCGACAACTGAGATTACTTCAAACTACCGAATTAAAGAGTATCAAAAGGTATTATTAACTTTTCTGCTTAATTTGAATAGCTTTATTCTTGCAATTTCTTTATCTTCTTTATTATGAAAAAGTATTACAATTCAGTCTTCTCTCCTCAAGGCATTCATGGAAATGTGAAAGAGCAACTTTATTTTCTCTGAATTTAGTTATAATGTCAATTTCGACTTAATTTAACCACGGAAATTAAACGCTATAGACATCTAAATCTTCCTAACTCAAGCTTCTTTTTTTTTTCTTTTTGCAGTCCGAAACTGTCTATCGAAAAATCAGATATGCACCACCAGCAACAACATTCTTCTGACTTTGAAAACTGTACAAATCATTCAGTACCAAATGTTATGTTACCACAACAAATGCACCTTCAATTAGAACAGCGGCAACAGCAGCTGCTTCATCAACGTCAACTGCAATCACAGCTGCAACTCCAACAGACACAACTTCAGGAACAGCAGCAACAAATCATCTCAGGACCTGATCACTGTAGAAGTTCTGCTGCAGTAACATCAGTAATACCTGTAAGCACGAGCTGGAGATCTTGCATTACACCTATGCCGCCACCAACATCGCAGAATATTGGTGCATATCAGTTAAGTGAAGAAGAGGGTGTACAACTGGCTGAAATTGAGGAGGATTTAAAACGATCTGCAGAATACAAACTGGTAAGTTTTCTATCATTTTCGATTTTGCAATATCTGATACATGGTAATATATAGTTGAATGACTAAAAGTGTAATTTAGGCTTCAATTTTTGTTTTGAAAATAAGTCCTTGTTTTGTAACTGGATGAATATTAGTTTAAAATTTTCTTGTCTAATGGAAACATGAAGAATAAATTTAAGATATAGGCATCTGAAATATAGCATATGTAGATGGTATTTTATAGAAATTCTATTTCAAATTGGAGTATTCTAGACCGAAGCAGATAGTGAATCGGATAACAGGAGACCAGTGGCTGAATTAGCAGAGGCTGATACAACTTTTCATGAAGAATATGAAGACAGCATTGGGTAGAACATGTTACAGTAGTTTCTTATTTCTAACAGAACAACAATATTTCTACGAATTCTTATCTTTAATCTGATTATTTATGTGTTACGCAAATAGCTTTCAGATTGCAGGATAATGTGGAATGAAGCTATGTTTTAAATGTTTCGACTAAGCATAATGGAATTGAATTCAAACTGTAACAAAATTTTTAATCACTCTTGTTTTTAGACGATTACATCCGCCATCACTGTCATCAAATGGCGGAGTTGTGTCACCACCATCAAATCCTCCTTCAAACAGTTCCGTTTCATCAAACTATCCCATTACGAGTCCTATGGTTAGTAATATTTTTCCATGTAATTAGCATTCTACTAACACGGATGTAGGGAAGCACCTCTTTATAAATCCTTAATTTGTTCAAATTTTTTTAAATTCTCTATTTGAAGAGACATGAAATCTAGAAAACAGTCTATCTAAAATTCTTGTTTGAACCACGTAAATGTAATATGTTCAATTAGCTTCATACAGATTAATGAATGTTTATGACAACTAGCAATTATTAACGGTTTCCCTTATTTTTGCAAATTTTTAGGCTCCTCAAGTATCTTCTGTTATATCAGAAAACAGTGGTTTTGCGGCACAATTACCGCCGATTAAAGCTCCACCTCCTGTGTCACCGTCTCACTCTTCGCAGCAAATGACAGTAATGCAGAATCGGGGTCTATACCATCAATCTCAATCGTGTATCTCATCAAATGAGAGTTAGTTTTGATGACTTGTATTGTTTTTTGCCGCTTATCGCTCAAAAAACAATTCTGAATGGTAACTACTTCACCTTTAATACTGTTTTTTTTTTAATGGAGATCTAATAATTTTTAAGTTTGTTATTTTTTGAATGAGATTTTCAATGATCTTAAGAAACTTTTATGCTTTTTCTAGGTGTAGGTTAACATCCAGAATTTACATCGAATTTCACTATCGAATTCATAAGTTGATTCTTTTATTTCAAAGTTTTACCATAGTTCAATATTCACTAATAAGCTCTGTCAGGTCAAACGTTAAACCCATTATCGATGAGTGGTAATGCTGTGTTCACGAAACCAGCGAACGTTGTTCGTTCTCAATACCTCCCGTCTATAAAGCCTCCCTCGATGCGAAATTATTTTCATTCATCACCAAAGCAAAAGCAACATATTTGCATCGATTGTAATAGGTTGGTTCATCCTTTTTTGCTGTTTTAAATATGAGAAAATTTTCTGTCTTTTCGAGAAGTAAGTATAAATTACAAATTATAGGACTATTTATAGATATGAGCAAGTAGATAGCTAATATATCGAGCATCACTTTTCGTAAATGAAATACATTTCTCAGTAGCTCTGTTCTCTGTTTTCATCCTTCCTATTACTTCTGGGGATATTTCTTCAATATTGTGTATTTGCATGATCTTATTAGAAACAAATCAAAATATCAATATCTTCAATACTTGTACTGCTGTATGTGTCATGTGTATAATGTTGACGAGAAAATCCAGCGCTCAGATGATTCAAAATGTCTGCGGGGTAAATATTCAGTGTAATCTGTCTGCTGTTTGCTTATACAATTAAAATTGTCGTGTAACTAATTTAAGGGCACTTTCATCAGATTATTCCCTTAAGCGACATCGTTCGACATGTGTAGAAGCGAAAGCTGCGGCTGCAGCAAAAGCAGTGGATACTGTAACTTCTGATGCAGACTTGCAAAATGATGAATGGTAGGCAAGACGTACCAGTTTAAAAAGATTTTAGAATATTTAGGGAAGTTGTTATGGGCTAATTATTAATAAATTCATTTACTAACATAAATTCGTCTACTGTACAGGAAGAAAATCATGAATGAAAAGTGTTTCAATTTTTATTATTTTATTGAAGTGTGAGATGTATTTTTAATATTTTTGTTAACAAAATTTTCTTTATTAGCACGTTTTATTCTCGCAATTATATCCCTGTTGCAAATTAAGAGAAAAGAGCGTAAAGCTAAGATATGAATGCAGTCTTGTTCAGTGAAAAATTTTCAGCACAAAAACACAGTCAGAACATTATAATGACTCCGGCAGTTCGAGATCGTCTTCTTCGATGCTTTCAAATGGTCCAATAGCTAAAGAACCTTCGGTAATCTTTGCAACCATTGTGTATTTCATTCATTAATCTTTGACAAAACAATTCATTATCATTATTTTGAAATAGTATATATATTTTTCTTTCAAATATTCCATTTAAATGAGTGCTGGTAGGCAATATTCAATTGACTATTGAAATGTTATTTTTTTCGAATAACGACAATCATCATTTCAAAAATTCTTTAAAAAATTTAGATATATTGTTTTGTTTTAGTGTACAAATACTTCATCTTACGGTCCGAGGGATTCAGAATTACGGATTTCCCAGCAGCTCACTCCAGTATCTGCTAAGGTTGGCTTCTTGCTTTTATCACCTATTTTTTAAATTTTTTAAGTTCAAAAATTTTTATGTTTTGTTGTGAATTGTTGTAAATTACTTGGACTTTTTCAGAATACTGATATAATATTATCTCAGACATATTCGTATGACGAAGACGCGGATAATGGTGTGTTGTGTCGTGTTTGTGATTGCTGGTTACCTGGACAGCGGGAATTTGATCGCCACTGCGATGAACTGCATCCAGTTGCTGCCGATCCAGATAGCACAACCGTACCCCAAACGTTAATAATTATTTACAGATTTTAAATGACAAGTGCATAAATACCTGCAGTACCTACTCTCGCCTACTATGCTAGCATATGGACATTTGAATAATAACAAAAAAAAGGACCATTAGTAATGGAATACATTTTATCGGTTACAGATTTGAGCAAACATCGTTACCATCCGGATCAATAATGTTGAGCACGGCAATTTCATCAGAAGTGAGTTTGAATCCGTCCGGTCCCTACTCTGTTACTGCTGCAAACCGAAAGCGAGTGTCTTCGGATTCTCTTGAGTCCGGAAGTTATTTCAGCACTAAAAGTGGGCGGCATTTATGTCAGGTATCAAAGTAATATCCTCTTTGTTTGCATTAGAGAAAAAAGGAAGTAAATCAGTCTTCAATTAAATAACCAGGTATAAGGGGCCCTTAGATTTTCTAGTGTATAGTGGTGTAATTTCAGACATGCGGGAAATATTATTCGTCAGAATGGAATTTGGAAAGGCATAGACGAGAAAGTTGTCCACTGCATATGAAACGGTTAAAAAGTATTGCTGATGAGAGAACAAGGTAATGACTAATGTAGAACACATACTGTTTTAGCTTTTAGTATTTTAGAATTATTTTTAAAAAATTAAGGGAACGTTTCAGTTATAGTTGTTAGAGCTTAGTTCATGTAATTAGACATTGTTAGAGTATAGTATGATATTGTGGTGTTACTTCGTTATGAGCACTGAGCATAAAGTTTGAATATGTGAAGTGAGTAATAGAATGGATTTTCTCGATGTAGTTTTTTTTTCCTTTCAGCTATAGTCAAAGTAGTTTAATTTTTTTAAACTAAATTAACTAAATTATTATTCAAGGTTGGCAAAGTTGGAACCAGTGGATTTGTTGCAGTTTCAGACTACTCTAAGCACCAGATGGGTGGATGACTGCTCTTTAATTGTCGGTGAATCTCGAATTGGTGTTCCGAGAGCGGTAATTTTTTTGCGACATTGTATATGAAAAATACCCTATAAGATCTTAATGTTGATTGAAAAAGGCAGATTATAAAAATTATTGGTCAGTTTCGAAACGTCTGGAAATATGAGTTTGGATTGTGTAGAAAGCAAAAAAAGAATGTAAGATCACTAATATATTATCTTTATTTTAGATGCTTTCAAGAGCTTCAACATATTTCTCATCTTTGTTTCAATATTATGAAAATCACAGCGATGTTCCATTACCGGTCCCTGTTGATCCCATCGCATTTCATCAAGCTGTGGAAGCATTTAAGGGTCGTTTGCAACTTGACGGTGTTTTTTTCAGTTCCTTTCAGTTTGTTCCATTGATTTCTTAGACATTTAAAAAAGCAAATTATAAGAACTGCTGATCATTTTGGTAGCTTCTGGAAATGTTAGAGTTTGGGTTGGTGTAGAAAATAAAAGCGAGATATAAGTTCACTAATATATTATAGTAACAGTTATGTTATACTACTGTAGTAATTTGGTTTTATAATAAATTGTTATTACTGTTTCATGAAAATCTTTGTTTTCTCTTTTAAATCCGATGTTAAAGTCAATCTTTTTTTAGGCAAAAATATTGACTGTATATTATTTATGGCAGATAAGTTTAAAATTAAACCTCTTTACGATCGATGCGAGCGTTTTATCGCCGAGAAAGTAAGCTTGATTGTTCATTTCCTCCTTTTTGGTTTTGATTCACGTCGATTTTACTCTTGTAAACGTTCGATTTTTATGGATAATGCTTTTAATTGTTTCGCTCAGTTGCATTCTCTCATCGGAATATTTTCGACCATGATACGGAAAAGGTTGCAATAGGGAAGCTGGATATTTAAAATTAAGTGCTTAACTGGATCATGTGTTTATGCGCGGACTAGTTTCATTTTTAAAATCTTATTACTGTGATTGAACTTTTTCAGTTGCCTTCATCATCAGTGATGCATGCCATCCGGCTAGCAGAACAGTATCGAATGTGTGAAATAAAACAGGCACTGTTCGATTCTATTTCTATAGATGTATTTCGTAGTCTTGCAGCGGACGAAGATTATCGTCAGATGGGTGCAGAATTGAAAGCTGAACTGTTGGAAAAGTGGGGTACTTTCTTGTAAGCACCTGGAAGTCCTGTTCTATTTTATTATTGTCTCAGGTTTGGCACCTTGTACAGTTACTTTATCATCATTTTTATAAATCGTTTTGTTTGTAGGCCTTTTCACTCTTTTTTCTTCTCCCGAAGAACTGGTGCACTATTGTACAATTCCTTCTTAGACTTTAAAATCCACTTTCGAGACAACTTGCATTTCTAAAGCATTGTAACTTGTAGAAGTAGACATGTAAGTTCTGAATTATGTGAATTTCGGAGCGTGTTTAATTAAAATTATAATGCGAATTGTATGCAGTGATGTGTGCGTGTACTACAAATTTTTCTTTTTTCTACACTCTATCCTTATTTATACTCTTCAGAAAGTAAGCTAATAATTCTGAATACCGTCGTTGTTGAATTTTGTGTATTTAGAGCCTACTTCTGTTGTCGACACCTTTTTTAGTAGGATGGAGTAACTTGTATATGTTGTTTTGGGTATTGCAGAAGGCAACCAGGTTTGTCTTTTGATCTGTGGTACCAATCTTACCAGAGAGTAACTTATATATGTGGTTATCCGTTGCAAAAAATGATCTTTATGGGTTGAGATTTTCTTCTCAAAAATTATTAGCATATTAATCACTTTTCTTTAGAAGATTAATTAATAATCTGTATCAGTTTGTGTATTCTATCATATATTCAAATTAATATTTTTGAACCTCATCGTTCGGGTTTTTCAAGGACCTAACACTCCAGTCATTCAGAGAGAAGTAACTAAATGAGTGTGAGAGGAGGAAGAGAGTAATATATTAGAATATTTTTCTTTATATAACTCAATATATTTGAGCTGGACTTTTGTATCCTCATTTTTGATATTCTAAATCGAAAGCACAACATAGTGAGATCCTTCCTTTCTTCCACTTTAACATGTATTCTAAATAATGTTGCTTGTAAGTTATTGTGCTGCCAGAATCTCAACTAAACGCTGTAACGATCTCTTTGAAATAATTCAGTCTATCCCTTAATTAGTAAACAAGTCCTTTCATCATTTGTTTTTTTTTAAATCACCATTTTATCTGCTATCCATTCATTTTACCGTGAGTAATAATATCCTCTAAGCATGTGTTATTATAGGGTTTGTTTTTTTTGCGTGATTTCTGAGTTTCCGATTTTTTTGTTCTCTCTTTATTTAAGAACACATTAATTCGACATTTTATGAAAAGCAGGAATAGTAGGATGTCTTTATTTCTTTGTTTTTTGCTAATTACAATCTACCTTTCAGGAGGAAGGTCAGGGTTCATTCTATTCGGGTCGATGAAAAAATATCTGAAGTTGCTGTTATTTGAAAATTTTCAGACTCAAATCTGAGTCGTCCCAACTTTCATATTCTCAATAATATCCGAAATGTCTAGAGCTCATTCCCATTTACATAGTTACAACACTTACTTTTTTTCTCCCGTCATACATTACTTCCGACATTTATGATTGGAAAGTCTTTCAATATACCTGCAGGCACGCTTAAAGCTATTTCTTAATTCTTGCTTGCAGGTGTTGGAGCATTCAATTTTAAAAATTAAAACTTTCTCATTCCATCTTTGGTATATATGTACTCTTTTTCTGTTTATATATTATGCGAAACCAATTTCGTTTTTCATTTGAATATTTTAGAAAGATGCTGATTTAAAACGAGCTTTACTTCTGTCCTTCATTTCTTTTGCGCAGTTCCTGTTTTTGTTTGTTTTGATTTTAAATTGTTTTCTAGGGGAAAAGTAGATTTTCAAATTGTTAGCAGTGCAGACCTCAAGCAGAATTTCTTAGTAATAAGCATTCCTTGAATCCTGTATAACTTATTTCCTCAACTGATGATTTTTATATTGGCTGTCTGATATGAACTCCTTGCTTTTTAAATAGTTTAACCTTAGTACTACACAAAAGAGAATTAATATGTATTTCAGTGCTTGAGTAATTTATTTCATTTGAGATAGCTTGCACGCACCCTCTGATTTTTAATTTGAAGCTTCTTGCATAGTAACGGTGATGGATATTGCTTGAAGTATTACCAAGCAACATGTTCATTTCACAAGTTGTGCGTTCGATTCAAAGCAGTAGCAAATAAGTTTCATTATTTAAGGAGAGAAGTTTCCTCAGTAAACGGAACTCGTTTGAGTGAAAATTAACATTTTAAAGCATTTCTCTTTTTTTTTTTTGCATCCTAAAATTTTGTTCGTTCAGGTTATAAGGCATATTGTGTCAGCTCTTCACCTTATTAAAATCTCATTCTATGTTTGTTGTATTTCTTTTCAGTTTTGACTTTTTTTTATCATTATTTCTAAAATCTCTTATCTGTCTTGTAAAAGTTCACACCAGTCGCTTGTGGTACTGTCAATCTTACATTAATTTCTGTTTATGCTGACATTTTTAACGATAACATGCTTCGGTGTCATTAAGAAAAGCATTTGTATCATTATTATAATTTCAATATGTTATAGCATAGCTTTGGAAACTAGATGTTGTTGCAGGAATTTCATCCTACAGTAGCTCGATGTTTCATCTAACATAGTCATTTTATTTTATTTCTCACGGGAAAATCATATTCATCAGTTTACATTGTTTTTATATAATTTCCATAATTATTCAATCCCAACCTCAACTTAGTTCAAGCGCTATTAGCAAATATTTGTAATGAAGAAATTCGAGTCTTTATTTTTACTGTTTCTCCATTGCTTATTTACAGTTATGTTAATTTATTTCCCTTTCATTTCCAAGAAAAGTTTTTCAAGTAAATTGTTCTCTGTGAATGATTCGTTAAAACATTTTCTTTTTTTCCTGATATTTACTTTTTTTCACAGAATTACGGATAAAGCGAAAACACATTTTGTAGATGTATGAATATATTTCTGTTTGCCATTATTTGCGCAATACATTGTGCTGCTTTCGGTTTTTTGTATTGGACTCAGTTCAGTGAATCGCTTATCCGCAATAGTAAAAACATTTCTTGCTGTTAGAGATAACATTTTTATGGTATTCATATTTTGCAAATTTTTGATTCATTTTTAAATTGAACTCCGCAATTAATTGAATTAATCCCAATCAAACTTGATCATTTTCATCTGAAATTAATGGAGGGAGTTCACTATTTTGAAATGAGCAGACGAATAAGAATTTAATTATTTTGAAAATATCACTTTAAATAATAGTGATCCAATTATGTAGAAAATAGTACTCTTAACGAGTATTGTTCTTCCAGTTAAGTTTCTCATTTTTATTCACAGACGACATTGGACAGATTATTTATAAGTGTCACACTGTAGATGTTTGGGTGAACAGCAGAAAGACAAAATCATTGAACACATTGTATTCATGAACAGTTAATTTAGGGAAAGACTTGAAAATCTCAGGAATTAATAATAATAATAAACCTTATATAAATCTTTTAAAATAATTTTGAGAGCAAAGTTATGGATTAATTTTCGGATAAGCAGGGTAATACATGGTGTGGGTTTCATGCAATTATTATTTGTTTAATTGTTGTTGATTTAATTTTTAAAATTTAGGTTTTAAATTCTACTATTCATTCATCCGATATCCTTTACTCCGTTATTGCTACCGATGATAACTGATTTACTTCTTTTTCAGAAAACTTGGACTGCGTTGTTTCCGCCCTCAAAATTAGTAATGGAGTCAGTATTACCACTCGCTTCGGGAGTAGGCGATAAATTTACTTGGCAAGTTCTGGTAATTTCTTCACTAAATTCAGGAGGCATTACATTGAACACTATTTGTGTGTAAATAGTGATCTTATCTGAAAAAATATTTGATTGAACTTTAAATACGAGAATTTTAATTCTCGCATTCTAAAGCGGTGAAAAACGATTCAGTACAAAGTTGTTTCGATATCTTTGCAATTGCGACTAGGCTATGGCAGGTAAACTTACTATTTGCATTGCAACCAAACGTCTTGAATCCTTCAACAGCTGATGGTAAGTGAGTGTAGAAAAACAAGAAGTAGAAGACAAGGCCACCTAGTGCAACTGACCCACCAATACTGCAGATATGGGTATCAGTAATTACTGTTGTCGTCACCTGAAAATCATTGTTGTTATAAATTGTCAACTGACAAGCAACATAATCAACATTTCTAAATTCACTTCAAATCTAATTTAATGCCTTACAATGATAAAGGGTTAGGTTGTATCAAAACAAGTGAATATAGTTTCAGAAAGATGTTGAAATTTTTGACTGAGAGAAGATCAGGCTGATATAAGTAACAGATCTATAATGTGTAAAAAGGTATTAGTAGAACGGATGATCTCGAAATTATTTCTACTAACGTATAATAATAACAGTAAGACGTTGCTTGAACATTTCAGTGATAGTTTACTAATTTTTTGCTCATCAGTCTACTTCATTTGCAACTAAGTGTCATGTTACTGTAATAATTTCTTACAATCAATTACATTTCTCTCATCTAATTCCCATTCTGATCTTCAAAAGTGACTTTCCATTTTGGAATTTATATAAAAATCAACCAAGGTTGCACAAATAATCATGAAGATGATAGGCATAATAATTGGATTCTGAATAGCATCCCGATGAATTGATTTATGGTGGAAACGAATCCATAGTAGAGCTAGCATTGTGAAAATACGCTGAAGCCATTGGCAGAATGATACGCAATTAATGAGCTGCGACAGATTACCAGTAAATGAAAGTAGAAAGGAAAGTGTAACCTGAAATATGGTCATGTATAGTGGATGTGTAAAACAATTTAACCTTTCACTAATCTTTTCATCCCTTCAATGTTTAATCAAATCTGACTTTTCATTTGTCGTTATAGTATTCCAGGAATTTACAATTCATAATGTTGGCTATCAAATCTTGTGAAAACTTGAACTATTATAATAGGATTTCGTTTTTGAAGAGACCATTCCATAAAAAAGAAAGAAAATTTTTTTTCTAAAAAAGGATAATCAGTATAAAACAATACTAAGGTTGATAATTTTGGTGATTTACATATGAATAAAAACATACAGTTTCAAAATGAAAGAAGGTTCATTAAACTTATTTTAAACTCAAAGTGTCAACTTACAGAAATAAATATAGCCACTCGAGGACTGTTATGTTCTGTATTGGAACAACTTAGGAAAGTAGGTAAATGACCTTGTCGTGCAGCAACATACAAATATCTAGAAATCAATGAATTAATTTATATGTTTGCTACACAAGTGTAAGAGCTTTTCTAACATCAATTAAATCACGATGTTTATGCAGCACTACAACTTTTCTTCATTTTTACCGAAATTATGTGCAAACTGTTATGATAAGTGCTTTTTTTTTTTTTTCAGATATAACTATGGTTAAAGGTTAGGAATAAAAGAAGTATTTACATGTGACAAACCTGCTAGCGCAAAAAAGTGAAGTATTCATGGAGCCGATCAATAAAATGCATATCAGAAAGGGTATTACAGAATAGAATTTGTCTAGTTTTGCTGCCGCAAATGTCTAAAACACAATTCTGAAATCTATTAGTTCTCAGAAATCTGATCTTAGTCTAGGAATACATTATTCAGAAAGATCACATCGCAAATGTTTCACAAAAAAATCGGTTCCAAAGAAGATAAATTTGCCTAATTCCATCAAAAAAAAACTAAATTAGGAACTTGTAACAGCTTTCCCTCCCAACTGTTAAGTAATAATGACTAATAATATTAATAATTAGATAAAAAAGTTAACATCAGCCACAGCAACAGATGATTTCATTTGATCTATATCAAGCATCGCGAAAAACGAAATATTTGTTGCAAGGAAAATGAATGCTACTAATGACATTCCAACTATAATCGCCAAAGGCATTGTTCTGGAAACAGTGTATTTCCTGTCACAGTTGACAATAAATTTATTTTGAATGATATGAAATGAAATTATGAAGATAACTTATTCCTTATACAGCATAGGAAGAAAACATATACTAATTAAAACTTGAAGTACATTAATGTTACACATTTATTATCCTACTTTACTGATGAAAATAATTGTACAGATTTATGCATTGAAATATTCACCCTATATTTCCTACTACTTCAGTACTCTAAAAAAATGTACCTTTTCGGTTTTTCAATTTCTTCGGTGCCAAAATTCAAAACATCCCAACCATCGTAGGAAAATAAACCAGCAAACAAAGCTGCTATTATATGACCAAGCCTAACTTGCGTTCCATCCATTATATTTTGCAAGTTTTGAGTTTCACCTAAAGAATAATAGAGTAGCAAAATTAGTCATCAATTCTTTATAAATTTAAAAATTATGTTATTATTCAATTCCTAAACGCATTTCTCGATGTTTTCTTAATACTGAATTATTTTAGATCGCTCAGCTCTCACGTAATTAGTATACCTTTAAAAATGATAAAGTAAAACCCAGTGCAAATTACAATAGCTGTTGTAATTATTTTTGCAAATGATGCAACAATTTGAAAACGTGATACAAATATTTTCAAAGAGAAAAAATTGAGCATCATCAAAAGCCCTGAAATAAATTTAAAAAAGACAAATATACTGATTAATACATTTTAACTTCAAAAAAGGAAAAAATCTTAAGAGTAGCTCGTAAATGACGTATTTTCTGTTCAGAAAAGTTCAAATAGATAAAATAATATAACTTACACAGTAATGAAAAACCAATAAGTTTTTTTAAGTAAAATTTTTTGGTATCTTCGAATATTTGTAAACGGAAACATTTGATCAAATATTCACTAAATGTCTCAGCTTGAATTGCAAGTGTTGCTGGAAAAATGACAAAACAACCAACACACATGAATGCAAATGCTATCGGATACCTACAAATGATAATGGTTATCATATCAGTTGATAATTATTATTGCTATGAATTATTTAAATAAAACTATATTTTATGAATTGCACAATTTTTTTTTTTACTCACTCACCACTTCACATAGCAAAGATAAGCGAAATCAGCTCCTGATCTACGTATGCTTGTACCTAATTCCACATAACAAAATGCTCCAAGCAATGATATCAATGCGGCAACAGACCAAATAATCAGTGATAAGCCCACCTAAATTTTAGTTCAATTTTTTACATAGTCATTATCACACCATCATGAATAATTCGGTTAATAACTGTTTTTAAAAAAAAAGAAAAAGACGAATTTACCGAATCAACTTGCTGTAGCACCGATGTAGGTGTAATGAAAAGACCAGCACCAACAATATTACCAATAATATAGCTAATTGCACCACATAAACCCATTTTACTTGAATTCGTAATATTTGAATTCTTTCCTATCACTTGGATCACTTTTTTTTTCTCCATTTATTACACAGAATATCAGTTTTAGCTATGACAATATTGCTAAAAATGCTTTTAAATGCCAATCTTATAGCTACTTGAATAAATTATGTGTCAAAATTTCATCAGAAAGTGATTATTCAAAGGATTTTTTTAATTTTTTATTTAAGAGAAAAAATTATATTAAGTCATTTTTATTACTCTGATTTCTTTTTTCTTAACCTTTCTTAAAATGATAATTGAAATTATACCATAACAGACTACCTGTAAAGATATGATAAGAAATTGAATTAGTTTAGTTTCATTTTTCATTTTCATATATTGCTAAATGTGTTCTATGAAAACAAAAAAAAATTTGTTTCCGAAAATGACAATAAAAACTAAAAATTTGAAGAGAGAAGCTAGCTTTGCGTTGCGTTGAAGTAATTATGACAAGGAATGTCAAATTATTATTTGTATAAGGTTTTATCACCTCTGATTACTCCAATAATTTTGAAATTGGCCTTCAAATTGATAAAAAAATAATCCCATTAGTGACATAATTGCTACCAAAAGTTTTTAATCGTTCAATGATCAGAAGCAAATAAAGTTTTTTCTGTTTATTGCTATGATTGATTGGAATGAATTAGATGGCATTTGCAACGAAATAAGTTGAAAGGGGGGAGGGTATAGTTGTGATATTTCAATGTGACACAATATGTGATAGTTTCCGGTTTAGCATATGATATTAGCAGTGACCTCTTCATGAACTTTCCTGAGCTATGAGAGAGGTTCATTCATTCACTTATGACACATCTGACATCATCATTGCTAAATTACTTAATAATCTTACAAACTGCAATGATCAGTGTATTTTTCATTGAGTAAACTCACACTATTTTGTGAACTCACATTGACGTAAAAACGTGTACTGCGTGTACCTTCGGTTATTATAGGGAGTAGGATTCCTTATTATATTGATATGACAATCAGTTGAGATTCCGACACTGATAATGCCCACAAGAACATTTTATTTATCGCTTTAGCAAGAAGTGTTAGATTGTTTTATTTTGGATTTACCTTGCTTTGAGATTTTCCTATGCTAATATCTCTAATATTTCAAGTCAAGGTTACATTTTGAGATGTTTTTACTGATATCCTGATTTTGAAATGAATAAATGATTCTCGAATTCTTGAATCAATCAAGCAGCATCCTTAATTAGTTATTTTAACACTTTCCCTGAAGAAATAAAAAACCCTTCCAGAAAAGTAAGACGACAAAAAGTTATTTAAATCAATTAATTCGTTTCTGAATCTTTTTTGACATTCAAACGATTGACAAGTCGAAATACAACATTCCTAACACTGATTAGAAATAAAGTTGAACAGAAGTGCAAGTAATGAAACGAACAGAAAAAAAAAAATATGCAAATTTTCAATGGTTGATCCAGTAGAAATGATGAATAAACATTGGAATGAGTAGGATTCGATCTTTCAATTCAATTTTATTCTTAGTTCGAAATTGATGATAATTTGATTACTTTACTGCATCCTATTACTTCTAGAAATATCATTAACTTAACACATTATAATTAGAATATAAAATTGTCATTATAATATCAAAACTTTAGTCATTCATAGCAATTCCACTTCGATTTTTCATATTTACATAATATAAATCTAACAGTTATCTAATAAATCAGAAGGTAATGTAATCTCTTTTTTTTTTTAATTTACTATATACTATTTATACTTCGAATACAAATGTTTCTTTTTGAAAGAATAAAAAGCAATTATAACAGAAATATGACAAGTTGACCTAAATATCATTCCATCGAGAGTAGTTCATTTGAGCTAACAATTGTAGCAAATAATTATTAGTGCTAAAATATGTTGCTAAATCAAATTCAAATTTTTATGATTTACTTTGGTAGAAAAAATAAGTTTTTTTTTTTTTTTTTCCAGCAATTGTTGCAATAATTCGGATATCACTGAATGCATTCACAGAAATAAATTCAATCAACTCTTCGATACTTACTTTAAACTTCAAATTGTGCAGAAGCGACAGAATCGCCCCTCATAAAGTTACATTAAGTTGATAAAAACTCATTTCCGCCCCTCAAATCATTTCGATCACTGATTTTTCAATCATTTCAATTTTATAACAAAATCAAAATTAACATAATTATCAAAAAGTGATAATGAATTTTATATCACAACGAATGAATGAAATGATAGCATTACGTGATGCGAGTGAAAATAATACATTTCTGTCAAAAGATGAAATTTTTTAAAAATTATTTTAATGAGGAAAGGTCAAAAGTTGTCACGTGGCCGGATTAGCTCAGTGGTTAGAGCGTCTGTCTTGTAAACAGAAGGTCGCAGGTCCGATTCCTGCATTCGGCATACGCTTGTTACGTTGTACTGTTCATTACCATTGTGTATAGTGAACAACAGGTGCAATTTTAGCCCACGTTTTCGTGCGAGCTATTCTCTTTGTTGCTCTTTGCTGCTAACATACCAGTCACGTGCGATCACGCATACATTACGAACACGTGTTCTTCAACGCCACCTTTTCATTTCGGTATCTCTAGCCGACGATCATCCAAGTGCAGAAACGTAAAACACATACAATAAACGTGATATTTGAGTATCTATCGAAATGTTTTGATTTGATTTCTTCTGAAAACTGCATTATGACTCTAGAATATTTGATAACCTCTCGTGTTCATTCCTCACTTAACCACCAGATCGTACGTATCTAATGGTAGTTTAACGTTAATTCCTAAATTTAAATTTAAGAGATGAGTTCTTGTGATAATACTTTACAAGCAACTTTTAATGAATATTTGATTATCACAGAATCGTATATGAAAAGAAACGATCAAAAGGAAATGAACTGAATTGAATGGCAGTGTGTGCACTTCTGTACAACAATTGTTTCAATCCAAAAAGTGGAAATTGCTGGACACAGAGATGGCCGTGAATTATAACAAACAAACAATGAACTACGTTCTGTCATTGTGTAGCTTTTCTGTTTAGCATTCATTCATTCATAGATTTGTGGGAGACGATAATCTGTTCTGCTCTTATTCTCAGTTAACAATGTTCGATTGTCTTATTCGTTCTAAAATATTTTGCTAGCTTAAATCCATTGTATTATTAAGTTTATATTACCCTATAATTCATATGTAATATCTCTTATCACTCAATAATATAATATTTTACTCTCATCTTTTTTTTAAAAAAAAATTGAACTTTCCCAATCAAAATTTATCTTTTGCAACAAGTATGATACTATCGTTCTTTCTGTGCATATCTAGATTAACATTTGTTTAATTTGTTATGATTTTGTGCTGTAAAAAAGGGAAAAATCTTTTAAAATTCATATAAACTGTAAATTTTAATCTCAAATTAATTTAAAAAAGTTTTTTTTTTTTTTTTAAATTCATGTAACTTTTAAATTTTAATCTCTAATTATTAATGTTTAATTAATTTCTTTCACGAAATTTTGCTTTATTATGTTTAGTTAAAAAAAGATTGCTGATTGAGAAAGCAAAAAGCATCCGTATGGGAAAGTAATTAATGGAAATATGAAACGTTTGGTTAATACTTAAAGGCCGTGTTTTGTTGATTCTATTTTCAGTGCTTATGTCTTTGTTATCTACAGCTCTCGCAGATAGCGTAAAGGTTCTAACTGAATAAAAAATCAATTATTCAATTATCTCTTTACACCGTCAATATTGTCTTTTTATTATTATTTATAAACCGTTTCATTCAGTTAGAACCTTTATTATTTATCGAATAAACACATTTGTTTGTTTGTTTGTTTCAGAATGTATAAAACAAATGGCGACAAGTGGATTACACGTAGTGATCGTGACATAGTGCCAGTTTCGACAGTGCAAGGATATGTTCAGAAAGGATTCTTCTATAAATGTCTTCTTAGTAAGTTATTAATTTTGTTTTATGGATTAGATTGGTCACTGAAACTGAAAGGTATTGGGAGCTTAACGTTGTAATAATATTACGCTTACTAGTAATTTATCGCCTACAAACATAATTTATTGTAATTGTCTGAGTTCAATAATGGAAATGCTTAATTACTTTTGCATTTTTATTTAAAGACAAAGTTTTGGATGTCATAATGTTTTATTTGAAGAAGATATATCAAAGGATGTGGATGACTTCGGTTTACTTCATAAACCTACTCGGATGGCGTTAGCTACACGGATCCAGATGTCTAATTTACCACCTTTGCTATTACCAGCAGTTGCTGAAGAATATGTTCGAGCTCGTATCTCATATGTTGCTGGTTGATTTTTATATTTGACCAATTATTTTTAGTCATTTTGAGTTGATCGATTGCTTAAATGTTGATTCTTCATTTTAGATTCCAATAGACTATTTGTGCAGCTGGAGAATAATGCACGAACAATAATAAAAATAAATGAAGCAGTTAGAAATCTTGCAAAACAAAAACACAAGCCGTTGTGCAATCCAGAATGTGGTACCGTTATAGCAGCACTGTAAATCTTTTTGTTTTGCATAAAAAATGAGTTTCTGAAATATTTCATTTCATGTGAATAGTTTTTGCTTTTAACATGTTCTTCATATATCTTCTTAATGATATAAATCAGAAGAGATATTTCCAGATATTCACCTGATCGTTCCTACTATCGAGCCTCTGTTTGCTCTAAAGCAGGCATTGATTCTGTGCTTGTAAGTTTTTCGTTGTCTCTTTGTATCATATAACATTGAAAGAACAGTTATTGCATTTATTTGTTTCAAGTAATAATAGTGTCATTATTGCGCACCACTAGTTTGTAGGCTAATTTCAAATCCTTTCATTTCTATTTTTGAGGTTTTTTACATTGATTACGGGAATATGGCATCTATCGACATCAACGACGCTTTTGTATTGGAAGATGCATATTTATTATCAATTCCTCCACAGGCTGTACAACTGATCATCGAAGATG